TCTCTCTCCATTGCCTCGCCTTCCTTGGTGACTTTTAGACAGAGTTGGCTATTTGTTGGACTTCTTCTTTGGTGATTTCACCCTTTTCCCACTTCTTCTGCATGTCTCTTTTGAGTCTTAGCACAGTTAAGTCAAGCTCCTGAGGAGGACCGGGCCCAGGATGGAACCCTGCGGATGGCACTCCACACACTATTTCTTTCCAGGATGAAGAGGAGGAAGCTTTGGGGAGAAGCACCCTCTGGATTACCAGTGGTCCCTCCCAGCCCCAACCCTAGGATCCTACGCCCTCTCTCTCTCTCCATTGCCTCGCCTTCCTTGGTGACTTTTAGACAGAGTTGGCTATTTGTTTGATTGGGTTGTTGTAGGGTTTTTTCGGGCTATATGGCCATGTTCTAGAGGCATTTCTCCTGACGTTTCACCTGCATCCTCAGAGGGAGTGATGTATTTGTTTGGTTTCTTCTTTGGTGATTTCTCCCTTTTCCCACTTCTTGTGCATGTCCCTTTTGAGTCTTGATCCTGAGGAGGACTGGGCCCAGGATGGAACCCTGCTGATGGCACTCCAATCGTAATTTATTTCCAGAATGAAGAGGAGGAAGCTTTGGGGAGAAGCACCCTCTGGATCCACATAGTCAAAGCCATGGTATTCCCTGTAATAACCTACAGATGTGAGAGCTGGACCAGAAGGAAGGCTGAGCAAAGGAAGAGAGATGCTTTTGAGCTGTGGTGTTGGAGGAAAGTTCTGAGAGTGCCTTGGACTGCGAGAAGATCCAACCAGTCCATCCTCCAGGAAAGAAAGCCCAGCTGCTCATTGGAGGGAAGGAGACTAGATTTTATTTGTCGTGTCAGATTAACCAGTCAATTATATTACATTTCTAACAGAACAAAGCAAACAAACAGACATAATACAAAAATTGTGAGTTTGGTAGTAGATTAAATGCCCTTTGACCAGTCTCTGGCCCCTTGGAGTGCCTCTGGTGTTGCCGCAAGGAGGTCCTCCATGGTGCATGTGG